GCAGGAATGGTCAGAGATGAGGCTGGGGAGCTGGAGTAAAAAATAGGGGCCTGTGTCTCGGAGGACTTGATAAATCAGGCCAAGGAGTCAGGTCTTTATCTTAGACCTCTTTGCAATTTCATTCATTTATACATTTAACATGTTTAAAAAAATAAAATAGCAAATGATATGAAAATATAAAGGGTTGATATTCTTTTTTTTACTGTGGTAAATATACATAACATAAAATTGACCATTTTAACCATTTTTTAAAAAAAATTTATTTATTTTTGGTTGCATTGGGTCTTCGTTGCTGCGTGGTGTGCGGGCTTCTCACTGCGGTGGCTTCTAGTTGTGGCACACGGGCTCAGTAGTTGTGGCGCACAGGCTTAATTGCTCCACGGCATGTGGGATCTTCCCAGACGAGGGCTTGAACCCATGTCCCCTGAATTGGCAGGCGGATTCTTAACCACTGCGCCACCAGGGAAGCCCTTAACCATTTTTAAATGTACAGTAGCATCAAGTACACTCAACAGTCTTGTGCAACTATCGCCACTATTCACTTCTAGAACTTTTTCATCATCTCAAACAGAAACTCTGTGCCCATTAAACAATAACTACCCTTTCCCTCCTCCCTGTGGCCCCTGGTAATCTCTATTCAATTTTTTTGTCTCTATGCATTTGCCTATTCTAGGTACCTCATATAAGTGGAGTCATACAATGTTTGTCCTTTTGTGTCTAGCTTATTTCACCTTGCATAATGTTTTCAAGCTTCACTCCTGTTGTCACATTTTTTAGAATTTCATTCCTTTTTAAGGTTGAAAAATAGTCCATTGTATGTCTGTGCCACATTTTGTTTATTTAGCATGTTTTTGAACATCTACATCAAAGTAACTTAATAAATTTTTATTGATGGTGATGTAACTATCTGTAGTTGGAGAGAGAAGCACATAGGCTATGAATTCAGTTTGATGCAACAAGTAGTTGTGAAGAGTTTGCAATGTGCAATGTCTGGAAGCTGTTCCAGGAAAAACAAACAAAACTTAAGGCGAGGCTGAGACCCTACATTCATTTGGTAGGAATTAAGCCCAAGGGTTTCTGTATATAAGTAAGAGCCTTTTCCTCATAGCACTAATTTTATCATTCCAGTTAAGTCTTTTGTGACTGTGTTTCATGTTTGGAAACTCTCATTTTTTAGGTCTTGGAAGGAGTTACCTGACAGAGACTTAATACACCGTACTAACAGGTCTCCCAAAGTAAGTCACAGATTAAAAAAGGTGCTTCCTCAGCATTTTCTCTTTACTAGTGCGAATAAAATATTTGCCTTTATTTAACATTCAGGATGACTATAATCTGAATAATGATGATGATCACTATCTAATATTGGGCCCTTACTGTGTGCTGGGCTCTGTGCTGATGCCTTTACATGTTATACTGTTTTTAGAAACCCCAGACACAGCAGGATTGATTTGTGGTAGTTTGGCATAGGTGAGAATTTCCTATCTCTGTCCTGCATAGAGCATGTTCAGCTACTAAGTAAACACTGTCATCTCATAATACAGGGAAATTAGAATGCCGGAATGTCAGGTCTAAAATAAGCCTCAAGATCGTCTACACTCATGACTTTCAGAGTTTTTTAGCTATGACCTATGGTAAGAGATACACTTTACAACAAAATATCATGGAACAGTCTTTACCGTAACTATGAGTGATATACTCTGAAATTTTCTATCCTGTTCTATTTCATTTTAAAACAGTGTAGGCTGTGATTCACAAAATTTGACTTCGTGACCTAAGGATAAGTTGCAACTGCAGTTTGAAGCATATTGCTGTGGTCTATCTCATATATCTTACAGTTGAGGAAACTGAGGCCCAGATAGGAAGTGATTTGCTGAAGCACAGCTAGTTAGGAGAAGAGCTAAATTTTAAGAAGGAAAAATCCCTTCTACTTGTCTACAATAGAGATTTACTATTTTTTGCAGTCCTACTGGATGCCTTATATTTTTCCCATAAGATCCTTCACTTTTCATGTGGTGGAGAGTGTAAGGGACCAAGAGAGGGTAGATGGGTTTGAAAAGATGAATGTACAAATCACTTACCTCTTTGACCTCTTCAGAATGAGAGGGTTAGATTCAATTAGTTTTAAGTTAATTGTGTAGGATAATACATGCGCAAGGTTCTAAATTCAAAATGCATAAAAGGGTTTATGGTGCAAAAAAGGTCTTCTCTGATCCCCCAAGCCAGTTAGTTCCTTTTCATGGGGACAACCTTATTTTTAATAGTTTTTTTTTTTTCCCTGCCTGAATCCTGCCAGAGGTATAGACTAGATGATTTATAAGATTTCCTTATAAATCTAGGATCCTAAATAGTGAAATGTGAAAAAATTTATGACTTTAACTTTTATGTAGATGCTTATAATTGTAGACAGGCTGTAAAAGTAGAAAACTTGCTTCTGCCTCTATCGGTTCTCTCCCTGCTCCCAGACTGTGTTGTTTGATCTGCAGGGGATCTAAGTCTCTGTAGTGCAGTGGGCAGAATGAGTAGTGTTCCCTTAGGTAAGCCCCAAGGTATTGTCCTATGAGGTGGGGTTGGGAGTTGCTAAATGCTACCCTAATGTGGCAGGGAGACAGGGGACACTATACACTTACTAGTGCTCACTCTTGCAGAGTACCTTTACTGATACGTAGTTTCTCGGAGGAGCAGTATGAAGATATTTTGGGGATCGGAAATGTTTTTTTTCTTACCATCTTCTGAACCACCATACCTTTTGGTTAGCATGATGATTCAGTCCTTATCTTGGTACATACACAGGCTTTATATCTTTCTCTTAGCTATCAGTGCTAAATTTGAATGAGACACAACTTCCTTGTCCTCAAGATGTAGGAAATATGGATGTAATCTGGATCCCAGAGAAGCATATGAGGTGAGTATCATGTCGAGAACTTGGGAGTCTTCAACTCTTGTGTTCTACAAGTGCCAGTCATCCTCTACAGACCTTCTCTCTGTGACTTTTTTTTTCTTTTTTTAAAATTAATCAATTAATTAATTTTTGGCTGTGTTGGGTCTTCGTTGCTGCGTGTGGGTTTTCTCTAGTTGTGGCGAGCGGGGGCTGCTCTTCATTGCGGTGCGTGGGCTTCTCACTGTGATGGCTTCTCTTGTTGGGGAGCACTGGCTCTAGGGCACAGGCTCAGAAGTTGTGGCACATGGGCTTAGTTGCTCCATGGCATGTGGGATCTTCCCGGACCAGGGCCCGAACCCGTGTCCCCTGCATTGGCAGGTAGATTCTTAACCACTGTGCCACCAGCGAAGTCCCCTGTAACCTCGCTTTTAGCTACCTCATTGCAAGAAGCAGGAGGTCAAGCAGAGCAGGCGGCTATGGTCTCTTGTATTTGCCTCTTGCTACACTGGAATTCTTGTTAGTACACTTTGAGATTCATGCTTTGGGAGTTTTCTACGTAAAATTCTACCTGACAGTAAATAGCATACAAGATAGGGACCAATGTATTTGTGAGGTTTGATTAAGAAACAAATGCCTTTTGACTATCAGTTTTTCTTACTAGCCATCAGCAACTAGTAGAAAAGTTTTCAGTGAAGTCTGTGAATCTTTGGTCTCAACCCTAAGGACTAGCACACTGGTACAAAATAAATAGCATATATAGAGCTTGTGTACAAAGCAAGCATGACAAAGATCATTTGACGAAGGTCCAAAGGCTTGCTAATATTGACTATCATTGGAAGAAATTGGTTTTTCTTTCATGACTGCTGAGGCTTTCAGATTCTTTTTGAGTGACTGTTTAGAGATGATGAGACTTTATTTTCTTTAAAAAAATCCTGTGTATGCTTCTTTATATGCATTTTGTGTGTGAATATATATGGTGTAAACAAGAAACCCCTAAGGATTTATTTCCTTTCATGTAAAAGAAGCCCAGAGTTGGGTGGGCCAGGGCTAGTATGTCAGCTCCATGGGGTAACCAGAAGCCAGAGCTCCTTCTAGCTTTTTGGGTCATCATCTTTAGCCCATGGCTTCCATCTTCTTAGGTGCTTTCTAGGGGCTTTCAAAGTCTACGTTGACTGCTAGAGCTTCAGCCATCATATCTGTGTTCCAGGCAAGAAGGAGGAGGGAGATGACAGAGCAAAAAATATTTGAGCACCTCTGTGCTAAGCAGTGGAATTCAGTGGAGAACTAAATACTTTGTCCCTTCCTCCTGGAGTCTTATGGTGGTGGTGGGATTCAGACATTATAGACATTGCTGCACCTAAGTATATAATTACTAATTTGGATGAATACTATGAAAGTAGGTAACTGGATTGTATGAGAGAACGGTGGGGAACCTAGTTCAGATGTGAGGGCGAGGTGGGGGTGGGGTTCTTGTTTTTAGCAGCCTCTGGGAAGCAGGTACCCCTGGCTTCCCAGCCAGCTGTCTTAGAGTACTGAATGGAGGATGGAAATCTTCGTGTTCATCATTCATACATATCCCTGATGTTTCTGTTTAAGATGTCTGGGAATAAGTTGTGGTTATTCTTGTTTCAAGTCCAGATGAGAAGAAGCGTATTATTCGCAGCCAGGATGGGGAGATGAAAAGAAAGAAATCTACAGGGGTAAGTTTGCTGTTTTGGCCAAACCTTCATGATATTACTCTGCAGGGTTTATTTTTGTTTTCCTTTGAGGTATCTTCCCCATCCCCCCATTCTCTCTTTAAATGAACAAAATCTGCCAAAGAAAACCCCTCTTAAGGAAAGAATAATTACCAAACCATCTTCTACTCCGAGACTCTTT